AATAATCCTAATCCCATGCTTTAATCCTTCCAATCAAACATGCCCTACATATCTTACAATGCATTTATTTTACTTCTCTTTTTTCAGGACTCAAACAAGACAATCCAGTTAAATGCTTTTCAGGTGTTCCAGGTCTTTACAGAATTCGACTTAGTGTTACACGACATAGAAAAACAGCTTACTGTTCCTTTTCACAATTGATTCATTTGTCTGAATTTATGTTTTTTTCTTTTTTCTTCCATTTTATAGCTATTTGTCGCTAATCAAAATAAGCCTGCTGAGATAGTCAGCATACTCATCACAAATAGAGGCAAGCTCCTCCGGTTCTTTGGTGACTTCAAGTTTGATAAAGGTACGCGCTCTCTGTTAATGAAATTTGTTAGAATATCCTTAGCACTGTGATGTAGACTGTGAGTAAAGATGTGCTTCATCTCACAGTGGATGAAGTATTTGAAGCAGACAAAGCTCAAGTTGTCAAAGAAATTGCGATGCTTGAGCCCACAAACAATCCGTGCGCAGATTTAGACAAATGTGACATTCCTTGTTAACAGGCATGTAAACTAATTTTATTTATTTTTGGTGTTAAAATTCAATGTATAAAGAGAAAATAGAAAATTGTATTACTGATTGATTGTATTGATTATAAGATTTATTAATTACAATTCCTATACAATCTATATATAGAAGAAAATGTGGTAGTAGGTGTAGTGGAGGTGATAGTGGGTTAGGTGAAGTGGAGTGTGTGGTGAAGTGGAGGTAGGTGAAGGTAAAGATGGGAAATTCTAACATGTAGCATAAGAAAATGTGCGTACTGGACAAAGGGCAAGAGTACAAAGTTCATTTTACTCTTTTACCTGTTATACACAACAAAATCCCACCCAAGGACATCCAACCTCCCCTTTGAGTCTTCTTCAAAAACTTGTACATGTAATAAGGAGAGAGCGCTTTGTAAACATGGGGGTTCCAGTGGACGATATTGTATACACCAATGGCGCTGATGCATAATAGCCATGTTATCACAACGGGTGCAAAAAGAAATCCTATTCTGTGGGTCCCGTAATGTTGGAGCGCAAACAAGAATACCAGTATGATACATGTAACCGGGACTTCTACATCTGCAGAATCGATTTGACCACAACTAAGATAACCAACTTCATATGAGTAATCATCAACTACAATGCTTTAAAAAATAAAAATAAAAATAAAAATGATCCACTACAGTGATTTGGACAGTAACAATTGTGGCAAAGCTTTGCTGATGCATATATTGTCTACTTATCAACCGATTGAAAGATGTGTTTACCTCGACAGGGACTGAAATCATCATTACAACATAATGACCAGTCTAATGATGGCTATGCTTCTTGACATCACTTGGGAATTCAGTTGGACAACTATACAAAATTACCTTCTCTAAATTTTATTGTTACCTTCTACAAAGGTACAATGTTTTGTGCTTAGGACTCATTTGAAAAGTAATAATTTTAATTTAAAAGTCAAAAAGTTATTAAAAAAATAAAAAAACTTATAATTTATATGAAAAAATCAAAGATTCTTTTTTTTTTTTCTCTACTTTTTATACATCATTTCATAAAAAATTCAAAAGTTATTCTAAATATATAAATTTTTTTACTTCATATTTTAATCAAAAAAAATTAAAAAATTACTAAAATAATCTATTCACGAACGCCTTAATCTAGTAATCTATATTTTACTTATTCTTAATCTCAAGTTACGTCTTTATTTTATTATAAGTAGGATCCTATCAACTTTTGTCTGCCACATACTGACGACTTTATATGTTTGATAGCGATTTGACTTTGATTAACACACGGGATTTATCTGTACTATATATTAAATTTTTAACACCAAATTTTATGGGAGTTTTAATCTAAATTTTAAATTTTTTTTTTTTTAACATTTATTAACTTCTCCCAACCCCAAGTTTTACCCTCATAATAACACTTTAATACATTAAGAACAAATATAAAAAAAAATTCTTTGAAATCCAACACATATGAATTCCTTGAAAAGTTTCAACACATATGATTATTATCATAAGGTTCTGAGCCAAGCATCCTTGGTTACGACGAATAGTGGCCTTGGCACGAGTCACGGGTTTTCTAATTTTTTCAAAATAAATATTAGATGACGACTCTGAGATCTGATGATGCAGTCCATTTGTGGCAATAATTTTATACTAAAATGGATTTTTTTATAATGTTGCCAAATCTGGACTCTCATCTATGTTTTACATTGCACTTGTGAGACTAGTTCAAAGAAATCAAGGGCTCGAACTATTTAACGTGCATGGGTATCCCCCGGGCATATTACAACGACGACCAGATCTCTTCTTTTCTAGTCCCTCATTCTCTCTCTCACTATTCTCCCTTTATCAACTAGGACTTCACTCATCAGTTGCAAAATAATAATAATAATAATAGAAAAACCAATTCTAATCTCTCTTTTTCAATCTTAATAAAAAGTTTAAATTTCAATGTCATGTTCTAATTTAGCACTAAGGATCCAAATCCCATATCCTGCGTGGAACTTTTTCACCGTTGTTGTTCATTTTAATACCATTGTTAGAAGTTGCAGCAATTGAACGCACACATTTTCTTGTATTGTTTGCATATATGGCTTGTTGTTGTTGTTGCCTAGACAAACCCAGTTGATTTTCTTTTTCCTTTACACCTCTTGGAACTTTGTTGTAGGGGTTGAAGAGTCATCCGAAGAATGGGGGTTGTTAAAAAAAAAACATTAAACAAAATGATGTCATTTTCACCAAAACGACATCATTTTGGCGAGGGCCGCAGGAAATGACGACAGATGATCTGGACTCATCAGTTAAGTAATGTCATAAGATGCTTTCAGACTTTTAAAAAATTATCTAATCAGATAATATTGTTTAATGCATTGATAAATTTACTATAATATCGCCACATCTCCACATATTTGTAGCCCCTTTCTTTTCCTTTTCTCCATTTTTCTTATTTTCTATCTCTGTCTATTTCTAGTATGGCAAAAGTATCTCTATACCACTTCCGTGACTCCCCTACTCCCACCATCTCGTAGCTCCATCACTCTCACTATCTCATAGCCACATCACTCCTATTACCGTCGTGGTTCCACCTTACTCATTTGTCGGTACCTCTTTTCTTCCTGTACTAATTTGTATCCAAATCTTGGCCCTTGTCACCAATAATTCCCAATTTCCATTGTTAGCATTAAACCCAAATGAAATCCATATCATCTACCACTGCCAACCAATGCTTGCCATTAATGGGCTTCGAATGCTTAATCAAGTTCCCTCCACCAACCAACGATCGCTACTATCAATATACTGTTCATAAAAAAGATGATTGATTATGAAGTGAAAATTTGAGTTAGGAGGAAGAGAAATATGAGGCAATCCTAATCACAATGGTAATGTAATCCTAACCGCAATCGTGATCACATCAAAACGGTAGAGAAGGAAAATGGATTAGGATTGTGATCACATCAAAGGTAATGCAATCCCAACCGCAGTCATGATCACAATTGTATCAATCATGATTATGGTAATACTAGTTTGTCCATGGAAGTGAGATGAGTGGCGGACAATTGTGGTGCTTGAGGGAAGGGAACCGGAAAAGAGAAAAAGAAGGAAAGATCATGAATAATGTTGATGCAGATGGAATATGAAAGAGAATGTGGATAGTGGTGGTTTTTAGAGTTGTGGAGATGAAACTGTGGGGGTGGTGGCTTTAGGTTTGGGGAGGAGTCGTAAGTCATTACCAAGAGAAGAGAGATGGGAAAGATTATATTGTAATCCAATGTTATGGGGTGCTTGGCTCTTGATAGCCTTGGGTATAATGCAAGTGATGCCATATTCAGCTAGAGCCAAAAGCCATCGTGCCATTCTTCCAGTGAGAGCATGCTTGCTTAATAGGTAGTGGACTAGATCACTCCTGGTCACAACCTGGATCGGGTGTGCCAAAATGTAATGACATAGCTTTTGCACAATGAAGATTAGGGCCAAGCAATGCCTCTCAATAGGGGTATATCGCGATTCGGCACCATTAACCTTGCGACTGATGTAATAGACTGGCTTCTCAAGCACCTCAAAGACCATCGGAGGTTGATATTCTCAATGTCGGAAGGCTGCCTGGTTTTGGTTAAAGGTCGCGGGCACGAGCGTGATGATGTATTTTTAGGTGGCTACCTGACCAACTAATGGGCCGAGTAGCCCGGTAGGCTCAGCCAAATTCCGTTGTCTTAGATTTTCACAACAAAAACAAAACTAAAAATAATATATATGTGAATCTCAACTCACTACTTTCAATTAGATTACAACAATATATAATATAACAAGAAATCAAAGCAAAAGAACAAAATAAGTAAGAAATGCAATGGATTCAATATGACGTCCGATTGAACCGACCTCAATTTTATTATCTTGTGCCTTTTTTAGTCCAATTTTATTAGCCCTTTTTTTATTATCTTTCCATTCTTTAATAATTTTGTCCAAAAGTGATAATTACATCCACTAATGAAGAGAAACGTCAAACAAGAAGTTTGTTCTTGGCATGAGAGAGAGATGTAATGCAGATATATACAAGAAATATACTAATATACTATGGCGCTGTTTGGGAACAAATTTTTTGGGTTTTTTTTTTGTTTTTTTTTCACTAAAAGACATATTGGTTACAAAACTAAAAAAAACAAATCTAAACAAAATATCACATCAAACCCCATAATCATTTCACTTTTTCTCTCACAAACATCACATCCAACCACAAAAAAACCCAACTATCTTCCCAAACACAAATTTTTTTTTCTCCAATAATATCCTATAACTAAAAAAACCTACAAAAAAATCCATTTTCCAAACACCCACTATATTAATAATACTTTTGAAAGTGACTACTATAGAAAATATGCATTTATGTCCATTTTTTGAGAAATTAAGAAAAATATTTACAAGGTAAGACCCTCACTGCTTAAGTGAGAATGATGGTAAAGATTTATAACAAATACTCATTTCATGTTGTAGTAGTCTTCCACCCAATGTTTTAAAAACTAGACCGATGAGCGAATCGGAAAAATGGATCGGGTGGACGGGTCACCGGTTCAACCCAACGTTTGAACCGGAATCGAACCGTGACGTAATAAATATATTAAAAATTATATTCAATAAAAATATAAGTAATAAAATTATAAATTAAAAAAAAACTAAAAATATTAAATTATCTTAAATATTTCTCCTAATATGTTTTTATTGTTTTACTAAAAAATATAAATATATATTTAAAAATATTATTAATTTTAATTTTGAAAGAGGAAATCAAATATTCAATGTTCCCTCTATATGATTTTGATTCAAATAATTTGATTGAAAGAAAAAAAAAAATTGGAGGGATATCAAAATTTCAAGTCTCCCTCTAATAAATTTGATTGAATCTCACATGAATTTTTTTGATGCCACTACAAAAAATTTGCTTTTTTATGACGGCAAAATGCCGTCGCAAATACCTAAAACGCCGTCTCAAAGGCTTTTTTGCGACAACAAGGGGGGGTCGCAATAAAGAGGGTTGCTAGAGGGTTTTAGCGACGGTATAACACCGCCGCCTCTTTTTTGCGATGGCAAAATGCTGTCGGTATTAATGCATGGAAATCTGAATTTTTTGAGACAGTACTATGGTGTCGTCGCTAAAAGGCGACAGCAAAAATACCGTCGTTAAAGGTCTTTTGTTTAACTAATTTAATGCCAATATCTTTTGCGATGGCTATACTACCGTCACAAAAAACCTGATTCTAATTTTTTTTGAGACGATGTGGTGCTGTCTCAAACAAAAAAAAAATGTAATAAAATTATTAAAAATATGAAAATTACTTGTATTAAATGAAAAATAACTGAAAAAGAAACCGATAATTACATAATAATATAAAAATTCCAATACATAAATAAAAATTCATCCATAATTAAAATATTCTTCTATTCATAACAACACATCAGCAAAATTATACCACCACATAATGTTGCATAATACATACATAATGTTGTTCACAAATTTAAATAACATAAATTAAAAATAAAAATTGTCGTCATGATTCTTCCGTGGGTTATAAAAACAAAAGTTAGTCGCAATCTTTACACGACTGCATTCTACAAGAAGCAAACTGCTACTCAGGAAATATTTGAAAATAAAAAATAAAAATAATTAATG